GACGATAATGAATGTAAGTCAAATATTTGTTTTTGCAATCTTCTTGAGACAGTATAGACATAAATCGTCAACGCTGTGATACCCATAACCAAAAAAAACTAAAGGGCAGAAATGTTATACTTTTTTGGGAACAAAACTTTTTAATGAGCTACCGCTCGAACTCAAAACGATCAACTCATACGAAATGTTCAAAAAAAGATCAGATCTTGGCTGTTCCCTTTTCCGTCAAAAACATTAGAAATAGTTGGCTGGTTGTTGGCTGTGAATACTGTCTCTAACATTATGTTTCTTCAGAATTCGGCTCACTTTGTCAGTAACTCCATGGATGTAGGGAAGAAAAGCTTTTGTCTGGTTTGTCTGTTCCTCAGGTAACTCGTTTGTGTGTGGGTTTGTGTTTGTTGTCGTTGGATGGATCTTTGTATTGGATCGGATGCCAGTCGCATTCGATCCCCCGTCCACAACTTCTCCAATACCCCATTGGATGATAATACTCTCAACATCCTGTCTAAAGGCTTCAACTTCTCCATAACTCCCAGATCCATTCCCATCGGAACCATTATTACCCAAACAGAATCGGCCATTGCTCACCTACCTGAAAACCTAGCTGAAGAAGCACGTCAAGACACCGCCACCACATTAAGAAGAGCAAAAATTCCGAAATCCAATGATACCCCAGCTGAGACACAATCCCTCAAAAAACTGAACAACAACCTAGATATAGCCGTCCTTCCAGCAGACAAAGGCAATGCCACAGTGGTTCTCAATATCACAGACTACATCCATCCATCCAAGTTGACGACATTACTTGACTCTCTGGAATACCAAATAACCCTCAGAGACCCAACCGTATATCTGCTATTTTGTATTTAATAAGAGCCTCCTCGTGGTTAAAACTTTGTGGTCTGTTTGGGCAAATGAATAGATCAATAAATGAATAAATTATCATCAGTGTCAATGAACATACTCTAAATAATCTCACAGATGATGCCCTAGAAAAANGCGATCGATTGTATATCTATATGTGAGTAAGTAGTATTCAGAAGTATTTTCAATAATCACTATTTGAATCCCTACTTTCTCACTCACCTATAAAAACGAAATATTCTTTATATATATTATTATATATATTTTCATTGTCAGAAATGATTATTGAATAACGAAATTAGTTAGCTCTCTTACTATATTATTAAAGGGGAGCTGTTGGAGGGTAGGTTGCACTGTATCGTTCACTTGAACTATACCAGTAGGTACTTACTGAACTTGTTGAAAATAACCATCTATAAATGTAAATATAGTAGTCAAATAAAGATCTATGTTCTTCAATTATCTATTATGAGCAAATCTGTTTCTAGTACAGAAGTAGGTACGCGACAATAAAAGCATGTTTTGAAAATATTTTTTCCAGTATTATTTTGTTCTAGCTACATAATCAACTTTTTTTTTCTCGGTACTTCAACTCTGAAGTCGCTTTTTGAGCGGTGGCACTTTGACGTTTTCACAGTTATCGCAGTGAACCCTCAAGGTATAAAGTAGTTATCCTAAAATCGATTCGAAGATATTCTGCTTGAAGCAATGTTCCATTGGAGTCGATTCCTCTTGTCGTACATTACCATACAATAAATTATTCAATCTGAATCGAAGTTGCCACTGAACGGCAAACTTCATCAACGCGTCGGCAATTATGAATATCAATGAGATGCGCTCCGTATCGAATGGAGTTCGAGCCAAACGAAAACACATAATTATAGTATTCCACTCCATCGCAGACGATATAAATCAGTTCATGATACTAATTGTATCGCTGAATCACCTGAGAAGCATTTCTCAGTATCTTGAAGTCACTCAGGACGCAATGCCCGATAAATTAATGTAAATGATGTTTATCTCAGTGAAGGTATTTGTTGATGATGTTGCACCACCAACGCTTTAACCTAGGAAGTGAGTTCCTGATTGAGCGTCTGCAAATAAACATAATTCACTGAATCTATTTCTGAAAAGAGAGAAATATTAACATGAAAAATAAAAATAGCTATTTTTTATATGAGTGTTAAAAGTAAGGTTTTATTTTGCGAGTGAAAAAGTTTGCGAAACGTGCGTAGCGAGTTGAGCAATTTCACGAATAAAGTTATACTTACTTTTAACACAAATATCTTACAAATTTTTTTGTAAAACTGTACTGTTTTCATAATAAAATAGATAAATTTAATATTTCTGTTTAAATAAAATCTGTTTGAAATCTCTTTTTCCGATAACTAGCTGTCGCACCTCTATGAACCATAACCCTCTGAAGTTTGAACTTGTGCGAGCTAAGGTCTAACAAGGTCTTTCCTTTCAACGTGTTATTCCTATGAAAACACATTTTGACATCTCTTGTCAGCTAACTATTTTCATGTTATCGCATTTGCTGTGAAGTGGCCGTATCAGGTGATGCCGAATCACCTGGTTACCAAGAAGCAGTATTGTTTATAGCTCACGCATTTTATTTAAAGTCACATCTAAAGTTCTTGCTGGTGTTTATGTTTCGCATAATGAAGAACCATAGTGAGGAATTGTGTGTTCCTGATGATATTGAATAGGTTGCCAAATGAGCTATAATTGAATTGTTAAAAAAAAAGACTGCTCAGCAGGACGACATCGCATATTCTAATCTTCAAAGCTAGTGTAAACGCAAAAACGTCGAAAAAAAATTGCAGCGAAACCGTCTACTTAGCCTATCTAGAAGGGAAATAAAAAATATGGAACTCGTGTTGAAAGAACTTTTAATACTAGTGTTGAAAATATTTTCAACACGCTACTTTGCAAACATCATCTCTTACTACTATTGACAATCATTAAAAATGTCACTTTCAATGACAGTTGTACAAAATAGCTATTTATGTTATGAGTGTTAAAAGTAAGGTTTCATTTTGTGAGTT